GCAGAAAGGGATCTTGGAGTCATTATTGACTCCAAGATGAACATGGGCCGACAATGCGAGGTCACGGTTGGCAGGGCTAACTGGACCTTGTCGTGCATCCACAGGTGCATCTTAAGTAGAGCCAGGGAGGTGATCCTCCCCCTCTGTGCAACACTGGTCAGACCATAGCTGGAATACTGTGTCCAGTTCTGTGCACCCCACTTCAGGAGGGATGTGGACAACATTGAAAGGGTCCAGAGGAGGGCCACCCGCATGATCCGGGGACAACAGCGCAGATCCTACAATGAAAGACTGCGGGACCTGAACCTGTTCAGCCTTCACAAGAGAAGGCTGAGGGGGGACCTGGTGACAGTCTGTAAACTCACTAGGGGGGACCAGAAGGGTTTGGGGGAGACACTGTTTCCCCTAGCGCCCCCCCCGCATAACAAGGAATAATGGTCACAAGTTGTTGGAGAGGAGGTTTAGATTAGACATCCACAAGAACTACTTCACAGTTAGGGCGGCTAGGATCTGGAACCAACTTCCAAGGGAAGTGGTGCTGGCTCCTACCCTGGGGGTCTTTAAGAAGAGGCTTGATGCCTACCTGGCTGGACTCAATTGAGTCGTTTTTTTCCTGCTCAGGCAGGGGGCTGGACTTGAAGATCTACAAGGTCCCTTCTGACCCTACTTCTATGATTCTATGATTGAAACAGGATGGGAAAGCCTTGCTTCCTCAAGCCACAGAGCACTGCACCTTTCTTCAACCTCTGCTGTCTCCTAGGCTGAGGGGACAGAAGCAACTATTACTTCTTTTGAACTACAGCACTGCACTACAGCGGTTCGGGAGGGCCTGCTCAATGAAGGCGTCGTGTGGGAGGGTTCAAAGGGATTGTTGAGCCATAAGTTTCTCCCTAGCTACACTGAGTATGTGCAAAAGACATTTTTCATAGGTTTGGCTAAATCTGGACTTGTTTCCATGAGAACAGCAAGAAGGTGTATCTCTTCCAAGCCAGGTTCCTAAATCCAGAACGTGCTAAAGTTCCTCAGAGAATTGGTCAGAAATTTTAGTTAACATTTGTAAAAGTGCCTGTTTTCCTTAGCCTCATTCTTGGAAATGAATAAGCGTTAATTGCGTCGGCTTTCCCGGAAAATTTCAGCCTGAGGCTGAGGATTAGCACAGAAGACTTCAGCCCAAATGGCTGAAGTTTGGCAAAATTATATAAGCTACTGGAAACAGTAGTCTACAACAGAAACAACATTAGGCCACTTGAATTATGGACAGAGCTATCCATAGTGTCATCTGGAGCAATGTTTCCCTTTTCTTGGTGACCTATACTTAGGACCCCAATTACAAGTCTGAGCCTGAGCAACAAAATTGAATTTCTGTGGAGCTTGTGACCTCACTCATTAAATCCCAGTATCCTACTTGATGTGACTCCTGATTTAAGAGCTACTTGCCAGTGGTAAGTTTGTGGTCTGCTTTTACTTCGTGGCAGAAGTGAAGCACTGTGCCTTAACTATGTTTTTGGCTCAGAACAGCTCACACTTCAGTTATCTCAGCGTAAAAAATGCAGCTGTTTTGGCAGTGAGGACAAGTCCGTACACTGCCCTGCATAAGGAACACAGAAACTCCACTGTAACTGGGGACATTTCTACCCTCTGATGTGCATCTGTTGTGTAGGGGGTTGCCAATGAGTTACATTGAGTTCCTTTTCCGAAAGACCCTACTTCCTTGCAGGACAGTTGGGACCCTGGACAGGAACATTTATCCTAGTATAATTATTTATACATTATGTAAAAAGATCAGACATACAGTGTACAGCCCTACTCAAGCGTAACTATCAAATCTGATACAGAATTACACTAGGAAAAATTATGGATAAAATTACATCAGTGTAAGTTACACCACTGGAGGTATCGTAGGATCATAGGGAAGTAGGGCTGGAAGGGACCTCTCAAGGTCTTCTAGTCTGGCCCCTGCTTAATTTAGAATTATTCCTGACCAAAGCAGCCTAGTCATATACCAGCAGCTTATTATGGGATGGATATGTGCTTGAGGGAAAGCAAAGGTTATTTACCATGGGGGAGCTGGTGATCTTTCTGTTCTGGCTCTTCTTGCATTTAACATTGTATAAAAACAGTATAGATTACACCAGTGTAAACATAGCATGTGTCTAGGCCTGCATAATTGTAAGTTACTGGGACTGTAACAGACATGGCATTGGCTTTTATTCAACCCGTAGTGCATACATGGGTTACTTCTGGCGATCCATAGCCTGCTTCCCTCCACAGCTGGCTCCTATGATGAATGAGCAGTTTCCATTTGTGTAGCCATGGCACCTTGATTTTCATGTTTCCTACTTGTCTTCCAGCTTTTGTTAGTACAGTGGGAAAAGATCCATTAACAAATCCTTTTTGCTTCCTGTTCTTTAGGACTGCCTTAAAGCTTGTCAAGAACAAATCGAGTCAGTGCTAGTAAGCAACCTTAGGCAAGTCCGGCAGCAGCAACAGCAAAGCAATCCCTCTAAGACAGTGGATGAACTGGACCAGGCCAGCACTCCTACAGATGTGAGAGACATCAACCTGTGAGGACGTCAGCACAAAAAGTCATGCTTGTTCCTTCCCCTTTCCTCACCCCCTCTTTTTGTGTGTTTTTTTATTAAATCTTTTTTTATCTGCTCCCACATAGAATGTATTTAAAGCTCTTTTAGATACAACAAAAAACTGAATAATTAAAAAAAAAAGCATTTGGTGCCTGTGATGTTCTACAGAAGGGAATCCCACAATATATTTGATAATTGCTCTTTGATTATGTATCAATGATATTAAATGCTTATAAAAGCATAAAGAAGTAGCCAGATAAATGTAAGCCTGCATTTGTGGGAACAAAGTAGAGTATACTTTTTGTGTATTATGACCTAGAGCATACACCCCCCTTTTTTAGATTTAAGAAAGGATTTGTGTGTGCGGTTTTATGGCTTAACTAGATTGCAAAGCAATAGATTAAGGAGTTAAGGCAAAGTGGGAAAGATCCCTGAAGCGGTTGAACCATAATGAAATGCAAAAGAGATTTGCTGATTTGTCACCTCTGTTATTAGTCAGAAGTGTTTGTTGGATCTCTGTATGTTAGTTGTGTTTACTCTTGCTGTCTGTGGTAGCTGCTACCTAAGAAAGAAGATGCTTTATTTTGCCAGCCGGAAGAGCAGGTGTTTTCTTTTTTTCTTTTTCTTTTTTTCCCTTCCCATCGCTTCCTATTTTTCCTCCAGAAGTGGCTTGTTTTAAACACAGCGGCATCTTTGGCATAAAAAGGTGATCCTGCTTATCCAACTGTGGGCCAAGCCAAAGTACTGAATGTTCACATTAGATGGGGGAAATACACTGATTAAAAACAACCAGTCAAACCGCCTCTGAACATTGGATTCCAAGATGCAGTGGATCATCTGAGAAAGCATTACATTCATTCACAACGCTAATGCTATACATCAAGGGTAACTTTTGGCAGCTCCTTAGCTTGGCGTAAAGGCAATTAAATGATGCTCTGCCCATCTTCCTTTTTAACATGTCCTCGCTGTGTTAAAGAAGATGAGATTTTGTTTGAATCCTTCCCTGTCTTCCCCTCTCCCCTTGAAAAAGAAATGACATTTTCCAACATTGTATTAACGTACTGGTCCACAGTTAGCATTATTGTAAACCATTTCATTCGAAAAGCACTTTGAAAATTGTTCCTAAGGGATAAATGAGATGGTTTATGACAGTTGTGCTGAACAAAAAAAAGAGAGAGAGAGAGAGAAAATAAAAAACCCACAAAAGTGAAGCTTATAGAGCTTTTGATAGTCGATGTTTTCCAGTATCTGGTGTACTTCATTAGTTAGGGTGTTGCTGGAAATTCCAACACCTGCTTCGGATGACATTCCTGTCATGACATTCCGGATGAAAGTCTGATAATTCTTTGTATTGTCTGATGTCACAGAAGGATCTTAATACCACCTGCATGTTTATCTATGGACAATGAAAGAAAATTGCTGGTGCATAAGACAAATGGTAACTATCAAGATGTCTGATTATGAATTTTATTACAAAGGTGTATTCAGTGTACTTGAATTTATTTTTCCTGCTCCATCTGTTTAGAAGAGGCATTTAGATGGTAAAGGAGTTGGGGCAACTTTTTTTTTTTTTGCACAATTGTATTAACAGTTTGCAAATAGACAGTATGAAGCTGTTGGTTGAAATGTTCATGTTTGCATTTTTAAGATAAAAATCCAGAAAGAACATGCTACTTTGAAGAATATTTTATGAATGGACACTGCCATACTTGGCTAGATGAGGGTAGAAAATGGAATAAGAATCTAAGGGGTTTTTTTGGTTTCTTTTTTCGCTGCTAAGAAGCTATGATTTGTTTCATTCTTATTCACATTAACAGTACTTAGCTGTATTGTTTCACTGAGTGTGCTGCTATTTTATAAACATTTTTATAATATATTATTTTACTGCTTAAATTTCAAATCCTGAAGTAGATGGTTAAGTGGAGATATGATGAGTTCTTTGATTTACTGGAAATGCCCTGTACAGTTTGTTTTGTTTTTTTTTTCTAATAGCGTGTTCATGATTTTTTTTTATTTTATTTTTCCTGATCACATCCTGCAAAGACGGTATATTTACCTCAGGTTTACTGGACAAAAAATGGTTCCCATTTTCACAATACCTCACAATTTACAGTTTTCCTTCTGCTGGGAGCCTCATGGAATGGTCAGTGCAAAAGGCAGCTGAAGCCTGTGTTTTTTTGGACAAAGCATAGTTACTTCAGTTGTGTTGGGGAACAATTGCAGAGTGCTGGGGCATCGGCTCCCTATCGGTCTTAGGTATCCTTTTCATAGTGGAAAAAATACATTAACTTGAGGACCTGTTCAGCAAAGACTTCCCCCTTTAAGCCTCAATCCTGGAAGTGCTTGTGACCCGATTCTCCCCTGCTGTCATCTGTACTTGAGCAAAATGAGTATCAAGTGTTACATCTGCACAAGTGGAAAAAATGGAGTTGGTAGCATCAGACATCCACTTTTGCCCAGGTGCAAATGACTGTTCAAATGCACTAGCCAGTGGGAAATAGTACCTTTTGCCTGGTGTGATTTTTATCACAATAAGTTGTCCCATGGAGCTGGATTGTGACTGGCAGCCTGTCTGCATTGTTACACTGCCCCAGGAGCAGCATCCTCAGAGCCACGGTTCTCCTCCTGGTCTCCTCTGTTCTGCAGAAAAAGTCTAAACTGCGTCAGGTCTGTATGCAGTGCACTGCACAGCTCCTGATGCACCAGTGCAGCTACCCTGATAACCATATTGGGATGGTGAAGCTAAGTCTCTGCCCCTTCCCAGCCACCTGTGCAGAGAGGGGATGTAGCAGGTCTGGTGCCTGCTTCCCCATCCACAGTATTATCCCTCATACTCATAATTAGCTAGGTTATATTTGAGCCCTTGGAAATCATTATGCCTAATCATAACTAGGGACCTACCTAAATCATGGCAGAAGTTCACAGCATAGTGGTACCTTTAATTTCACTTTTCTTTTTGCCATACCCCTCCTGCTCCCCTGATGCTGAGGTGCCGAGAGGCAATTAATGGCGTGATTTTTGCCTCTCAGCCACTGGGGGGGGACACATCAAAAAGAATGAGATTAAAGGTGCTGCTGCACTGCGAATTTCCACCATGTTTTAGGTAAGTCCCTACTCACTCATAGCAGTGCAACCATTCAGTAGCATAATCGGGCCTTTAATTTGCAGTGGGTTTGGAACAGCCTAGTCCTGCAGTCATCAGAGAGGGTTTTCCCTGAGTATAGGTGACGGGATTAGGCCCAGTAGTCTTCTCTTAGGGGCTGAGTGTCAGAAAATAAAACAAATGGTCTAATATTGCCAAGCTGTTCAAGTCCCAGATTTTACATGCTTTCAACACTGTACATTGTAATAAAAGACAGTTTATTGGAGCTATGGCAAATAGTCTCACTGCAACTTGAAAACAAACCTAGGTCGCATTCCCACACGTTCTTTCAGTGGCACTCCATGTGACTGTAGATGGCTTTGCCATGGGAAGGAGTTTGCAATATCAGGGTCTGAGAGACATGAGATAGTCCAGTTTTGCAAGAAAATCAAAAACCCGTAGCATGTTACATTTTTTGGCAGAAAAATAGAGGGTTATTTTTAAGGGAGGACTGGATTTTTTGCTCCATGGTGTTTGTTTAGTTGTGAACAAAATCCTTGCCATTTTCAGAACTGTAACTTGTACATTTTGTTACTGCAAAGATGATTTTTCACATTAAAAACTGGTGAAACTCAGAAATTCAGTCTGCTCTGATGCAAAATAATCACATTGTAAACAAATTATGAAAAGTAAGATTCTGGAACCACAAAATAGCTCATATCTGCACAGCCCTGCTACTTATAAGAACTTAAAATGGTACATATTGTATTTCATATGAAAGTATATCATGGTAATTTGTAAACTGTGGACCGCATTCTGTCCTGACTTGTACTCTTTAAAACTCCATTGATTTTAATTGAGCTGTACACTGTAAGTCAGCACAGCATTTGGCCACGTGTGCTTATAGGGATCACTTCATTTGCTTCTGGCCTGGAACATGGCAGTCGTTGTGTGTCAACACCACTAAACAACTGCCTGTAAAATAGAAACTATAGGGAGAATGTAGGTCAGCAGAATGGAACATAATTACCCACCATGGCATTTGGCCAGGACAGCAAGGATAATTGGGAAAAGTGTCATGGGATCCTTAATAGCCACAGTGATCAAGCCCCTGATTTTTCATTTCAAAAGACAGCACTTTTTGGAGCATAGCTCGTCTTACCATCATGCAAGGCATGGTTCCACTATGGACTCAGAGGGATGAATGCTGTCTGCCAAATGTAATTAACACAACTTCTGGTGTTTATAATTTCTTTGGGGGTACATCCTCAAGACCCTTCTTGTACAGACAGATCTGTGCAGCCAGCTCCTGCCACCCATGCCTAGCTGTATAAATTTCAGTGGAAGGCACAGGGGTATGTTTTATGCAGATCTGAGCACATAGGCAGGCTGAAACCATGACATTCATTACACCAGAGGGCTAGGTTCCATTCTGGACCCCTGCACACAGTGCAGGAGGCTTCCTTTTATCTCTAAACACACCAGCTTTGAGAGAATTCTCCAAGTGGGAAAATTAATACAATTCATTCCCAAACCAAGAATTAATTCCCAAAACAGGAGAAGCCACACTGAAATCCTGTGACCCTTCACAGTTAAAAGCTTGAATCACATTGCCAATTTTCTCTTGTACTCAATTACGTAGTTTTTTTGCATGGATGGCAAATAACACCCAAATTACAATCAGACATCATGTAGTGCCTGATCTTGCAAACTCTTTTGCATGGGAGTACATTACTGATGTGAGTGTCTCCATTAAAGTCTATGGCTCTTATATAAGTTTACTTATGTGTATGTTCAATGGGTCAAGTCCTTAGACCATGAGATCTTATATTACAGGGTTGTTGGTACCTTTGTGTTCTCTTAAAACTGATGCTTACTACAGAATGGTAGAATTAAATAATGTATTTCTTTAAAGGTTGTAATAGTACAACCTTTTGGTGGCATTTTCTCCACCAGTTAAGACTAGTACCCTCCCCCCCTCCCAGGGTGCTCTTTGTGATGGAGTAGACATTAAAAACTGTCTTTAAAACAGGCTCTTTAATTCTGGTCAGCAGCCAGTTTAGGATTGGAGGTCTGATAGGTGGATAAATGGATGCTCTCCTTTCCTCCAGCAGCTCCTGCAGCCAAGCTGGTTCCAGATGTACTGGCATCTGCCCTGGAGAGGTCACTCCAGTTTTGCTTTATCTTTCAAGCAAGGATTACATTCAGTGACCTGATGTCTCACTCGGCACAATTCTGTTGTCTCGCTAGACAAACAGACATAAACAATATGCGTACCTGCCATCTATAATTGCAGCCCGTGTGCATGGCCTGCCATATCTAAAGTAAATTTTAACAAATAAATATGCTGGATGGTGCAATGATACATTAAAACATTTACTGTGCGTTTGGAATCAAGGGGAAAAAAATTACTGTGTTAAAATATGCAGCATAGAAAGTACGTACAATCTGGGCCCTAAACTTGACAATATCATTTAAATGAGAGCTATCAGACCTATGCACAACTTCCATATTAAGCTGATGACAGGAAAAACAATGTTTTATGTCTAGCATCAAGAATCCATAATTTTTCTACAGATCAATTTAGGGAAAAGTATATTCTGGAGATTGTATCTTTGAGGGTTTAATATATTATGGCGCACATAATGGCACACATTTGTCATAATTAACCAAATATTTGGCATATGTCTCTACCTTCTATGAGTTCTATCACCATAGTATCTGCGTGCCATATAAATTCTAAGATATTTTGTCTTTCCAACATCTCTTCATGGTATGGAAATGCTGTTATCCATTTAATGCTGCTGATCTTTGCTTGAATAATTGGACAGCTCTTTAGATGCCAGCAAATCACCTGGCCACTGGATTTTTTCCACTATGTTTATTACCATTTTATCATGTACCTCAGTAATCACTCTCAGTTGCACAGTTTCTGTTCTCAAACCTTTTTTTTTTTGCTTTAACGAGTGTGATGCCATATCAATTCAATGTTATTCTCTCACAATGTGCTCTTTAAGAGGTGTGGATGTTTATATGGTCAGGGGATGCTAGAGAGTGCGGTAGTAGACATGATCAGTGTAAACAAAAGTATGTAGAAAGTATGTGAGATTGGTTTTTTTGATGGATAAGATTCTGATACAGTGTAGTTTCAGTTACCTTTTAAAAGGTCTTCTCTGTTCAGTGTTAAGTCATTTTTATTAATAACCTGTTGTTTTGACTAGATTAAAGATGGTTTTAAGAAAAGTGTTTTGGTGGTATTAGGCATGCTGTATGGACAATAAACTCACCTTGACCTAAACTGCCTTTCTTGTTTGTTTTTTTTATTTAGTCAAATCCTGTTACAGAATTTCTAGAGTCCTGCACCCATCAGGCGTATCCACACATGCAAGCATGTGTGCTTGCAGCAGCTCAAATAGAAGCAGTGCAAATTTGAGCCGGGACTTTTTGCCTCTGCACGCGTGCTCAGACATGCACTTTGTTATGGAGCAAACTGTGCCACTTGGGTCAAAATAACCCTGCCTGGTTCCTCCCGAATTTGCAGCCAGGGGGAGCTAGAACCTGGGGCCAGCACCTGT